GGGGCAATATTTCCTACCCCTAGGAAGGGCCAACTGTGGCTCAGTGGTCGGACACAGATTCATCTGTTGTGTATCTCACGTGTGTATTTTGGGTTAAATGCAGAGGACAGATTTTGTCAGTGTGTGTGCATGACAACACTTATCTCTTCACTTCTAAATCTGCAACTGATGAACTTTTGGAGTCAGTCTGATTAGAGACGGCCACCAGCTGCTTGACTTTCACAAAGCAAACTAAAAATGGTGACATCCCATTGGTTTTAGGGACAATGATCTAAAGTCTGAGTGTTAACAGACTGTACAAGGTCTTGTGAAATTGCACATTGGTTTTTTTTTCACGGTTTGACTAAAATGGCCAAAACATTTCTCAACATAAGATGATCTTAGTTTAACACTGAGATACAGTATATGGTGTCAGGCAAAATGTTTTTTCTGGGAATGCTATAGCCTGGTAAAAACCAGGGACTTGTTCTTCGCTTTGCTTCATACAGGGTCTGGACAGGCAAATATTGAGAAACAATTTCTTGCTGGAGGTATGGTCTCTGTTGAAGTTTAAAACTATTGGATTTGATTTTACCCCATCGTTAACGTTTGGTCGTGATGTACAGTATACGCACCAGCTCGACCATGAAGCTAAGCTAAGGAGCTAAATGGAAATTGTGAGCTGTAAACCACCATCCCCTACTGGAGAAATCCCAGATGGATGATTAATTAAAGTCGCATGAAAATAAAGTTGTAATATTACGCGAATACACGAAAAAGCAGCCTTACCACTGCATTAAAATGAGGAAAGTTGAGCAACTTGTGAAGCTATTCTAGTATCATTTAAAACAAATACTTAATCTTTTAGCACGTTAGCATCAAATTATCAGTAGCAGGACTTTGAAACAATTGTGCAATCGACTATATGATAAAATGAAGCCGTACTGTAATTAATGGCTGCATTGACAGATTTAGTTGTCACGTAATTTGGATGAAAGCATTTTACACTAACAGCGTAAAAAGGTATGTATCATTTAAGATTATGGACGTTTTCTCATAATATTATGACTTTATTCTCATAATAAAAAAAATCTTGTGTGGCCCAAACAGAGATTATTGTTGTATACAAATTGGTTTTCTTATCGTGATGCATCTCTTGATTACTTCTGCATCTTAAAGATTTTTGAAGCTCATAAATTATGTCCTTTTGGCTTGCCGTAAGACTGAGCCCCTACATGTTAAAGACCAACACTCCAAACTTTGTGTCAGGCACAAAGTTTACAATCTGGGAGTGGTTTCATTCATACTTATCCAACCAGTTTCAGATTCAGCTGAGTCACCAACATGGACGTGAGGCACTGGCAGGTGAAAAGTGATCAGAGTTCAAACAGTTGTCTCTCTCCTCCTGCAGCAAACATGTCAGTGAACCTGAAGTGCCAGTTTATTAAAAAAAAAAACATTTATGCCGTGCATGAACATGAAGGGATTTGACTCCTAACCTGGTTTACAGCAGATAACAATCCCAGCCATGGAACTTGTGTAAATATTTCTTCAGATACAAATCATATTTTACACACACATTCCCATCCAAAACACACAAATCATTATTCACAAATACAAAGTCTGATTTACAAGTGTATAATATGTTTGACTAAAATTTATGCCCGTGTGAAGCCGATTCATATTTAGCCCTGGGGTTGGTTTAAATCCTACATTAGGTAAATCTCATGTTTGATGCCAAATGGAAGTTTTTAAAATTTTAACTGAGTTTACAATTCAGATGCAGTGGAAACTAATGATCAATGGTCTTCACATCATATATTCATTCACCGGCCACTTTATTAGGTACACCACGCCAGTACCGGGTTGGACCCCCTTTTGCCTTCAGAACTGCCTCAATTCTTCATGGCATAGATTCAACAAGGTGCTGGAAGCATTCCTCAGAGATTTTGGTCCATATTGACATGATGGCATCACACAG